GCCAGGGAAGTACCATAAATAGAGTTGTTTTTATGCAACTAAATTTCACATGTAAGGTGAAATTTATTTCATTTGGATGAATGAAGAGCCAAGAAAAGCCAATACATTTTTGAAGAAGGGAGAATTATATTTGCCAGATAGTACGGTTTAATATAAAATTATAGTATTAAAACAGTGTGGTTTGGGTACAGGGATAGACAAAGAGGCTAATGGAACAGAGCAGACTTTTAAATAAATAGTTTAATATATGAACATTTAATAAATGGTTCTGACAACTGTCTCTCCATGTAGAAAAAGACAAAATTAGACCCTTACCTCAAGCTATACACAAAAATTAATTTCAGGTGGACTAAAAACTTAAAAGTGAAAATAAAAACTGTAAGCTTTAGAAGATAACACAAGAGAATATCATTATTATGTAAAATCCATTAAAAGAAATAAAATAGATTTTAAAAATCCATACAGGTAAAATGTTAAAATAGGGCTTCCCTGGTGGAACAGTGGTTAAGAATCCACCTGCCAGTGCAGGGGACACGGATTCGAGCCCTGATCCGGGAAGATCCCACATGCCGCAAAGCAACTAAGCCCGTGTACCACAACTACTGAGCCTGCACTCTAGAGCCCATGAGCCACAACCACTGAAGTTCGTGCGCCTAGAGCCCATGCTTCGCAACAAGAGAAGCCACTGCAATGAGAAGCCCGTGCACCACAACGAAGAGTAGCTCCCGCTCACCGCAACTAGAAAAACCCTGCACGCAGCAACAAAGACAGAACACAGACAAAAATAAATAAAAACCAAAAACTTTTTAAATGAATAAAATCTATCTTTAAAAAATTAAATGGGGCTTCCCTGGTGGTGCAGTGGTTAAGAGTCCACCTGCCGATGCAAGGGACACGGGTCCGGGAAGATCCCACATGCCGTGGAGCGGCTGGGCCCGTGAGCCAAGGGACACGGGTCCGGGAAGATCCCACATGCCGTGGAGCGGCTGGGCCCGTGAGCCATGGCCGCTGAGCCTGCGTGTCCGGAGCCTGTGCTCTGCAACGGGAGAGGCCACAACAGTGAGAGGCCGGCATACCACAAAAAAAAAAAAAAAAAAAAAAAAATTAAATGAAATAAAATAAAATGTTAAAACAAAATATTAAGTAAGAAAAGCAAGTTGGAAAGAATGCATACATTTTGATGATAATAGTATGTACTGTTTGTACAAAATTATAAACACACACATATGGGAACAAACAGTAAAAGAACATAAGCAAACTGTAAAGGTAGATAAATCTGACTACTTAAAAATTAAAACTTCTGTACAAAAGATATCATGAGCAAAGTAAAAATCAAATTCACATAATGGGAGAAAATAATGAAAACCCATACAATCATCAAATAATTGGTATGCATAATAATAAAGAATTCCAACACAGCTGTAACAAAAAGAGAAACAATCTAAAAGAAAAAGAGACAAGAATGCATACAATTCACAAAAATTGTGAATTGGTGGCTATTAAGCATCTGAAAAGATTCTCAACCCCATTAACAATCAGGGAAATGAAAATTAGAAATCAATGAAACCCTATTTTGCATCCATCATATTGGCAAGAATTAGTAAATCTCATAACATCAAATACTGGTGAAGATGTGGGGAAATGGACTCATGCACATTGTAGGTACCACCACCTTGAAGAGCAATTGATGAAGTCCGAGGCAAGCTGAAAATGCATTATTTTTTGATCCAGTAGTTCCACTTCTACATGTGTATTCTAAAGTAAACTTGGGTGAACAAGGAGGTTTGTACAAAGTCGTTCATTTGTAGCATGGTAACATGGTTTGTAACAGCTGAAGAACGAAAACATCCTACTGTCTCTAAGTAGAATAATGGATATCCTCAGGTTTGTCAATACAATGCATTCTACACAGCAGTTAAAATGAATGAAGTAGGTCTAAACCTGTCTGTCTATCTATCTACGGCAATAAATCTTTAAAAACCAAAATACTGAATAATAAAATCAAGTTGTAAAAACATACTGACAGATTTTAAAACACACTAAACAACACCTAAACTGTTTTAGGATACAGTCATCTGTATCCTATCAGTGATTCCCCCCAGCCGACATTTGGCAATGTCACAACTGGAGGAGGATGCTACTGGCATCTAGTGGGTAGAAGCCAGAAATGCTGCTAAACATCCTGCAAGGCATTGCCTAACCATCCCCCCACCCCTCAATACATATAAAGAATTATTTGACTCCAAATGTCTAAAGGACTGAGTTTGAGAAATCTTGCTCTAGAGCCATCCTATCCAAATTATATAAATGAGAATGCGGGATTGAGGCAGGAGTGTATTCTTCAAAAAAAAAAAAAAAAGAGTATAGTTCAGGGAAAAGGGAAGTAATTAAAACATATCAACTACAGTATGTGTGAAAAAGATTGAAAGAATACACATCAAAATAGTCTCAGTAATGATTTCTGAGACAGTGTTCAAGAATTGTGTTGTGGGGCTTCCCTGGTGGCGCAGTGGTTGAGAGTCCGCCTGCCGATGCAGGGGACGCAGGTTCGTGCCCTGGTCCGGGAGGATCCCACATGCCGCGGAGCGTCTGGGCCTGTGAGCCATGGCCACTAAGCCTGCGTGTCCAGAGCCTGTGCTCCACAACAGGAGAGGCCACAACAGTGAGAGGCCCGCGTACAGAAAAAAAAAAAAAAAAAAAGAATTGTGTTGTGTATACTTCTATTTTCTAATTTATCTAAAAGGAATACAAAGCATTGGTGAACTTAAAAATCATTTGAAGAGAAAAATACAAAAAAAATCTTTCATCAAAAAAGTTTTCTTCCAAAATTTTATGCTTCAGATCAGTTTCATAGCGCATATTTTTACGTTATTTTTCTTAAGTATTAACTATTTTGTGTTCTACTTTTTCCCATTGGCATTATTTCATATAGATCATTCCATAAATCCAGATAATCTTTATATTTGAAGTTTTAATGGCTATATGATGTTTCATTGTATTACTTTGTCAAGAGTTACTTAGCCATTTCCTAGCTGCTAATGATTTTGGATCCTTCTATTATTATGAAAAGCATAAACATCTTTGCAAAAATCGAGTGTTTCTCTTTATTGAATTCTTTCCCTGGGATTTGCTCCCGGGAGCAGATTTGCCACATGGAAGGATATAATGAATTCTGTGATGCTTGGTACATGTTGTCAGATTTCTTTCCAGAAAAATTATTCCACTATTTCTACAAGCAATGCATGAGTATACTTGAGTCTCCAAAGCACTGTTAACTCTGGTTAAAAAAAAAACAAAAATAAAACCTATTATTAATTTAACATGTAGGAGGTAGTATACTGGACTCTTTTAATTTTCAATTCTTTAATTATTAGAGAAGCTAAACATTTTCCCAACTGATTGTACACTATTTGTAGTTTCCCTTGTGCAAACCATCTCCTCATATCCTTTAACCATCTGTCCAGTCAGACTTGAGTATTGTCCAAATAGATAATATTAATTTTCCTTAAATTCGTAATAGTAAATGTTTGTAGGTTATTACAGTGTTCCCCCTGTTGTTTTCCTATTTGTTTATCCAATTTGGGACTGTGATGGTTAATTTTACAGGCCAACTTGACTGAGCCACCAGATACTCAGATAACTGGTTAAACGTTATTTGGATGTATCTGTGAGGGTGTTTCTGGAAGAGAGGAGCATTGGTGGATTCTGTAAAGCTGGTGGTCCTCCCCAGAATGGAAGGGGAAACAACCATTTTGGAAAACATTTTGGTAGTTTTAAAAAATTACACTTACCTTATGACCTAGCCATTCCATTTCCAGTTATTTACCCAAGAGAAAGAAATCACATGTCCATATAAATGAGGCAGGATGGGACCTGGGACCCTTTGCTGTAGTGCTTGCACCTGGACAAACTTTCTCCTCCAGAAACAAAATACAAAGAAACTATAAGGGTGTAAAATTAACTGTGAGTTGGGGCAAATTATGAACAACACATACAAAAAGACCAAAAATACAACTGCCACTTCTGAGGAGCTGGAAGCAAAAGCAGGGTCCTGCACAGGCACCCTGCGCACAGCACCACCAAAGGGGTGGCCAGACCACCCAAGCCACCCCTCCAGCACAGCCCCTGGACCCGCCACCTACCCTCAGCCCATGTAAGGAAATAGCTTGCCCTGCCTCAGGAAGCGAGCAAGGGAACCTGTTACTTGTTTTCGCTCCCTCATGTTGCAGTATGAGTGCCAATAAAGCCTTGCCTGAATTTCTTGTCTGGCCTCTTATTAATTTCTATTGACTAAGGAGTCCAAGAACTCTGGTCGGTGACACACAGATTTGCACAGAAATGTTCCCAGCAGGTTTACTTCTAATAAGGAAAAATTGGGAATGATAATGTCTATCAATAGGTGACTAGGTAAACACATTGTTGTATATCTATAAATGGAATAGTACTCAGCACCAACAAGGAATGAACAGTTGTTACATGCAAGAACAGGAAGGGCTGTCAAAATAGTTATTCTGAGTGAAAGAAGCCAGACAAAATAAAAAATGGTTCCACTTATGTGCAACTCAAGAAAAAGCAAACTAATCTACAGTTCCATTTATAAACAATTCTAGAAAATGCAAACAAACTAAAACAGATCAGTGGGGTGGGGGGAGAGGGCGTGGGGAGTAGAGTGGGAATGGGTGCTGTGAGGTGGGACCAGGGGAAGAGCCTGCAAGGGGAGAGGCAGGTTTGGGGGAGCAGCGCAGGGAGGTAGGCGGTACATGGGCCGAGGGGGCCAAAGAAGGCCAAGGGGAGACGGTAGGGGCAGGAGCAAGAAGTGGTTAGGAGAAGGAAAGCGGGAAGGGCAAGAGTGGGGCAAGGAGCACAGCGCGGTGCGGTGCTTGGAGACCGGACAGGATGAGAGGTGGGAGGAGACGGAGCGGAGCATCGAAGACGTGGGCGGGTCCTGCGGGCGTGGGCGGGTCCTGCGGCATGGGTCCCGCAGGGTCGCGTACAGCGTCATGGCGCGCTTCCTCTGCGCGCTTAGGAGCCTTACCTTCCGAGAAGTGACCGGGTGGGCGGTCCTGGGCCGAGCCGACCGGGGCGGCCTCGGCGCGAGTACCGGACCTGAGGACGCAGGTAGGACGCGGGCCTCGCAGGCCCCGCCGCCACTTCCCGGCTTTCGGTTTCCCTTCACTTGCCAGGACTTGGGAGCCCGCCTGCTGGTTCTGTACCTGGTGCTTACTTTCTCGGGAAGCTCCTTCGGGACGCCCCTGCCCGCCCACCTCCTGCCTAATGCGACAGCTGGTTGTAAATTATTAGGGGCGGGGGAGTGTCACTGAACCCTATGACGATTTGTGTAAAGATATAGATCCTCTCTCCAAACGCGCACACACGTTTTTTTTTTGCATAAAATGTTATGCTCTAGAGCCGGGCCTCAAGGTGTTGGGTCAGCAGCCCACCCCGCGCTCTCTGCTGCAGTGGCCCCTGCTCTGTTACACTGTCCACCTTCTCCAGTTATGTATGCTGCTTTTCGCGTCTGAGAAGCAGGCGGTTCAGACTTTGCATGCCTGTGGATCTGCTCCCTGACCTGCTCTATTTCTGTGTTTCCAGGACCCAGGAAAACGTGTAGACTAATAATCCATACCTCCTTTAACCTGATAACCATCGTTAGTCAATGGCTGTGATACAGACTAGGGAAAAAAGTGTGTGTATTTTCTACAAAATGCCTTTGGCTGCTCTGTGGGTCTGGGCACGTTTACATTTTTTAGTACGGAGTCACTTGTGGAGACATGCGTTAGCTGGCACTGTAGTTCAGGCCTATTTCAGGGGAATCTAGTGCCTCGTGTACATTGGCTTTATGGGCAGATGCCTAGCCATCCAATCTCTGAATCCATCTGTTGTGTGTCCAATGAAGACATTTAAAGCTACATATCTGTGCTGAAAATGTACCCAGTCACTTGGAATTCTTTTTATCCCTTGAAGTTTTCAAAATGCTGTGTTAAATAAATAAAAGCCCTGGCAGTGTGCAGGGGGAGCTGATCCAACATGACTTGGGGCCATGGCCTTCAGAACCTCTTGCTGTCTCTAGTCAGCCAATCTGATTATTTCTTCTGTGCCTACTGTGTGCCAAGCACTGGTTTCCTGAGAACCACAGGTGATGGAAACATCACAGCTGTGGGCTGGAGCTCTTCTCATTCCCGTTTATAGGGTGGTGGTTTCAGCAGAAATTTGTCCTTTATGTTTGTACTTGGTGATGTCAGAAACAGCCTAATGAATCGCCCTGGAATCTGAGGTTCTTCAGCAATGTTAAAATTTGGCCAGGGCTTCCCTGGTGGCGCAGTGGTTGAGAGTCCGCCTGCCGATGCAGGGGACACGGGTTCGTGCCCCGGTCCAGGAAGTGATAAAATGTATATGTATATATGTATATAAGTGATATATGTATATATGTATAAAGTGATATATGTATATAAGTGATAAAATATATAGCCTATGTTTCCCCGTCAGCAAACCTCTGTACTTGTTTATGTCTCACTAGTCCTCCTCACAACGTGGATAACTAGGCCAATATATAAACAAGGCCCTAAGTCCACAACACAGGATTAAATGCAGCTGCACTTTTAACCTTTCCATTTCTTATGTAATTATAACTAATGCTTATTGTATGCCTACTAAGCACCAATATTGTGATAAAATATTTTTAGGTTTTTTTTTTCATTTATTCTGTAAAACAACCCTACCATTATCACTATCCTTATTTTATAGAAGAAAAAAACAGGCTTCAGTGTACCAAGTTCAAGACGTGCCCAAAGACACAGGGTCAGTGATTGACACTGTCGACTCTGAAACCCCCTTAACCACAAAACTATTACCTGTCCATCATTCTCAGTGGTTGCCTACTAGTTGTTGAATTGAATTTTCATGGTTTACTTAAGCATTCCTTAACTGATGGATGTTTGGGTTAGAGCCAGTTTCTAGTTCTTAAGAGTAGTTCTGTTAAAGACATCTGTGCACATATAACTTTGTTCTTTAGAATTATTTCCTTAGAAGGAATTCCCAGGAGGGGGTGTCTGATAAGTTAGCAGTTCCTGTATTGGTGCCTGGCCAAATTTTTTTTTTGGCGGTACGCAGGCCTGTCACTGTTGTGGCCTCTCCCGTTGCGGAGCACAGGCTCTGGACACGCAGGCTCAGCGGCCATGGCTCACGGGTCCAGCCGCTCCGCGGCATGCGGGATCTTCCCAGACCGGGGCACGAATCCGTGTCCCCTGAATCGGCAGGCGGACTCTCAACCACTGCGCCACCAGGGAAGCCCCCACAATCTAATCTTAATCACTCCTTCAACGTACAAAATTCTTTTCTCAAAATTCCCTTTTTTCACAAACCTTTTATCCCTTTTTGTATCCATATGATTTGTCCCTTTTCTTTGCCCATCCAAAAACAACCAACTGTAGGACAAATTATTATCCTCATTTTTCCTCAACAAATATATCTCCATTCTTTATACTTTGTCTCGCCGACAACACATATCCTACTTGCTTTCCACACTGAAATGCTTCCCTTATCATTTTTAGTAGCTTTAATTACATATTATTAGTAGCTTTAATCACATATTACAATTTTTTAACCCTTAAAAGCCTTAACAAAACCAAGAAACAAGTAATTGAACTGTTATACCAGCATTTACTGATTGGCAAACTTAAGAACATATTCCATAACCTCTAAAAACTTACATTTTTCTCATAGCATAATTTCTCTTTAATGTGGTACAAGATGTGTGTTTAATAAACCCAAACATCTTTTGAAGTTTTACTATTTAACCCAAGGCTGAAGTCTCAGGCAAAGTGGGCTGTGTTTGTATTTCAAGGACATGATAAGAGTAACATCAAGCTTTCTCCTATGTGTATTTTGGTTCTCTCAGGGTCAGAATTCTGAAAACAGTATTTTATCAAGCCAGCTTTCTCTAACTGCATATGCAAAAAGAATCGGTTTTGGAATTTCAAAAGAGTTTCATCTTATCCATTCTTTTCCAATGTATAAAGAATACTGTTGTCATACATTGTTTAAAAAATTATCTTCCTTTTTCTTTAGTCGTAATCTCATAGCTAAAATTTTTCTAATGAATTGAACCTGACCTTACCATTTTTACAAAAGACAGAAAAGATACCAATCAAACAAATAAAATACACACTCACACACCAGAAGACACAACTGTCACAATCCTCCAAGACAGTGACCCATGTGGAGTCCCAAACAAACACTTCCCCAACACAAAGGGTCCTCGACAGTAGACACACGTCAAAACCAACTGGCAAAATGCCCAAATGACACACTCAGTGCTCACAAACAGCCCTCAATGTCAGACACGTCAGAACCAATTGGCAAAATACGCAGATAGCACTTCATGCTCAAAAGAGAAGTTTGCCCGGCTGCACACCCGTGGACTTACTCGGTCATGGAGCTTGTCAGTTTGTCCAGCATGTTTCCGTTCCACCAAGGAAAAGCGTACGTTGACAGCCAGTGCCGAGCAGGGGAGAAACAGGGAGGATCCCCCAAACATATGGTTTCGGCAGCTGCTAGGAGCGTCCCCCCAAACCCCCTTCCCGGGGCCAGCGAGCCTCGAGCAGCGGCTCCTCACAGCCATCCGGGCGCGTCATCATGGCGGCTCAGCTCGGGAAAACCCCAGCGGCAGATGTCGCGAGAGTGCAGCGGCCCCAGGTTGGGAGCCAGAAACTGTAACCGGAAGTGGGGTCGGGCTGCTCGCTGCTCTAAAGCCAATAAAGAGGCCAGGTTGGTGGGAAGGAAAGTTTGCTTTATTTCAGAGGCCGGCAGCCTGGCGCGGGAGGGGGCAGAGGCCTGTCCAAAGGCCGACTCCCCCCACTGACAATCAGTGGGCAAGAGCTTTTATAGATGCGGGGAGCGGGCTACACGCAGAAACAGCGCAGTCAGCTCTGACAGTCATCTTGACGTTGGTCATCGGTGGTCTGATCAGCGTCATCTTGATTGTTTTAAGTGCAGTTAATCTTCAGTTCTAGGGTCAATTTGTTCCCATTTCTTTAAGGCCAGCTCTCAGAATTATGACTGCTTATGTCATGGCTACAGCCTGGTCATCATGTAACTTCTTCCACCTTGCGGGGTTTCAGTATCTGTAAGACAGCTCACAGGGTATGGCTCAGAATGTTACCTATAGCCCTTGAGGAGGAACTAAAGGTCCTTGACTTTGCTTACTGACTAAACTATTATTATTTGGTCTTGTTGGACTGTCTTCCTTTGTTTCTGCATCTTCTCATTTCTCTGATTAAACTTATTCTTTGGCTAAAGTTTTTCCACAGACAAAAGGCAGCCTGAGGACATGGGGGGCAAGCACCATAGGGTCCTGCTCCATTTCATTAGGACACTGCATTCTTGTGGTTTCCTTCCCACCTCTCTGCTTGTCCCCATTTCTTCAACGTGTACATTGCGGAGAGCCTCAGAGTCCAGCCCTCAGGCCTCTCTCTCTGTTCTGTCTACACTCACTGACTTGGGGACCTTCCAGTCCAAGATAAATAACATCTAAAGGCTGAGGAGTCACAAAGTTATATTTTCATCCTAGACCTCTCTTGGAACTCTAAATCCATATATCCAACTGCCTAGTTGACATCTCCACTTGAACATCTGACTGGCATTTTTAAAGTTAACAAATTCAAAACCAAGTTCCCAAACCTACTCCTCCTGTAGTCGTCCCCCATCTTTCAGAGCCCAGAAGCTGTGGAGTATGACCCTTGGCCCTTTGCTTTCTCTTACCTCCACATCTGACCCATCAGCAGATCCCCCGGCTCTACCCTCAGACTGTGTCCAGCGTCTCGCTACTTCTTAGCCACTCTCCTGCTGCCACCCTGATCCAGGTTTCCACCTCTCAGCCAGATTAAAGTAGCCTCTGTAATGGTTCCCCTGCTTCAGACTTTACCCTGCTTCAAATATTTTTTTAGTATATCTACCACTGATCCTTTTAAAATATGTTAGATCATGTCATGCCTCAGCTAACCTTCCAATGACTTCCAGACTCACTCAGAACATAAGCCAGTGTCCTTACAATAGCCTTCAGGGCCCTAAATGATCTGGCCCCCATCATCTGTCTGCTGCCGCTTCTACTAACCTTCCCTGCTGACTCCACCTCCGTTGCTCTGGCCTCCTTGCTGTTCATCAGATGGGCCAGCCACACCCAGCCTGGTGCTTCTCTTGCCTGCAGTGCTCTTCTTCTAGGTATTCACATTGTGTGTTTGTTAATTTCCTTCAACTCTTTGCTGAAATGTCGCCTTCTTAATAAGGACTTCCCTCATTATTTTAAATTGTGTGTGTGTATACGCACACATAAATACATACACACACATCCTCACACTCTCTAATCTCCTTTGTGATTTTTGAAAAAATCATCTAAAGTTTTACATTCTTAGTTACTTTACCTCAACTCCATAAGGGCGGTGACTCTTGTCTGTTTTCTTTACGTCTGTATCCCCAGCATCTAGCATAGTGTCTGGCATATAGTAGGTGCTCTATAAATATGACCAAATGAATGAAGAAATGAATATCAAATGCCAAGGCACTGATAAATAGGGGTACACTGAACAAAGACACAGTTTTTTTTCAGACTTTCAGCTTCTAGTTGAATGAGACATCCAGACAAATTAACCTGCGATTGTCGTGTCTGTCATGGAAGCACTGAGGGCTGTGAGAACCCAGAGGAGGAGCTTGCAACCCAGACTTAGGGGGTCAGGAAATATTTCTTGGAGAAGATAACATGTAAACTGAGACCAGAGATTGGAGACTTTGGTTTCTGTCCTGGCACGTAAGGATCTTAGAAGTCTTCACTCCATCTTAACAACAAGTAAAAAGCTAAACAAACTATGATGTCTTCTGGGGGAACTCAGAGGACCACAGTTGAGAGGGACTGGAGCATAGTAGAAGGGAGAAGTTGGAAGTGGTAAGCAGGGCCAACCATGAAGAGCCTTGGAAGTCACATCAAGGAGTTTGGAATTTATCTTGAGGGTATTATGTCACATTGAACAGTTTTGGGCAGTGAGGAAAAAGAAGTGGTTGGAATAGGGGAGGGCATACAAATTAGAAAAAAAATCTGTAATAATCTGTGCTGGAGGTAATGGTGGCCTTATCCAAGGTAGTTGCAGAGGGGTGAGAATAAGCAGATCCTAGAGTTATTTAGGAAGTAGAACCAACAGGCTTGGTGCAAGGGCAAGGGAAGAGTCATGGATGATGGCCTGGCTTTCTGGTTTGAAACATGGAATTGATGAGATGGAGCACATGAGAGGAGGACCAGATTTGGGTTGGGGTGGAGGAGATACATGAAATTCTTTTGTTTGGGATGGGCTTAGTGGAGATATCCAGGTGTGGATTGTGTATGGATCCAGTACTCAGCAGAGAGATCTAGGATCTAGGGAAAAATCAGGTTGGGAGTCTCATCATGTAGATGGTACTTTAAGGATAAAATCTCCCAGGGTGGGGGAGGGGGTGTGGAGGAATGATAGAAGAAAGCCTAAGACAGACAGACTCCTCTAAAGAACACCAGTATTCAAGGATGGCTTGAGGAAGGGGAGCTGAGAAAGGTTGCTGAGGGGAGGAACTGGAGAGACAGGAGGATTTGGTGTCATGGAAGCTGAGGGAGTAGACTATACCAGAAGGAGAGAATGTCTAGTGTCACTTCTATGGAGAAGTAGATGGGATGAGGATGAATTGTTCCTGGGTGTCCCTAAGAAGTCCTGGTGAGCTCTCTGAGAGCAGACTCAGTGCAGCGCATCCCACCCAGAGGCACATGATGTCAGCTGGCCCCACCGTCAGTGATGCTAACCTTGCTTACTTGGTTGAGGTGGTGATATCTAGACTTTTCCATTGTAAAGGTATACTTTCTTACTTGTAAAATTAATAATTTGAGGGATCATATTTTGAAAATGTGTAACTATTCCATTCTTCAACAGTCTTTTCACCCAAGGGTTTTAGAATTCCCTGATGATTCTTGCTTGAATCCATCTATTATTTTAGTGATTGCAAAAATGGTGATTTTAAAAATTTCATCATTCCTTCCCCCTTTATTACTTGGCATTCTGCATAATAACTCTGAAAGTCACTAAGCAGTAATAATTATCACATGAATACATTTTGCTTTGCTCCCCAGGAGCTGAGTTCCTGAAAAATTTGTGTGTAACTGAGCAATATTTCCATAGGAGTATTTCAGAGGTATATTTCCATTGGAAAAAAGAAATCCCCGTGGCCTTATAAAAAGTATTTAAGAAAGGACACCTTCTAATATATTTAACAGATAAAAACCCTTAAATAAAATGTAGACAACCATAAGCAGTCAATAATATATAATACTGAAAATACCATATTGTGCAGTATTATGAACTCCTGATGAAGATACAAGTCTTCTCCTGC